TCTGATTTACAGCATCCACAGTTCTTTGGGTTTTTATTGTGGATACAGTCCCTGTGGCGGGTATGGCCGTTTGTGCCTCCTCACTTTACCCCTTTTGGTGGAGGAGCCAACTGACTCTCTTAGTGGAGAGAGAGAGAGAGAGAGATGCCTGTGGTCCTTTGAAACTGTGGCTAGTTGAAATGATGATGATGATGATGTACGTTCATATTATTAAAGGTCCTGATGATTTTCATTTCCAGGGAGGTGCTCTACTTGGTGGTGTGAATGCACTGCATACTTCCTTTCCGGAAAACCCAAAAGACCAATACAAAATGCAATGTGAACTGTTGCTCGAAAGGTTGGGCCTAAATGATATTCTCCAACAAGAACTACAAAGGCTTGACAGGTAATATATCCACTCAGCCCACGGGCGGCTGAGCAACATTACTAGGATGTACGTTATTTGTTTAGCAAATGTTTAGATATTTAGCTTTGCATTTAAACACAAGTACAACTAACTAATAGCTTTTCAATGGGCATTGTCAGAGGAAGATTTGTTAACTGTTAAACTAGTGGGGTTAACAAATTTTATTTATGACTTCTAGCACTGATAAAACATCATAAAACTATTGTAACCAGAATAGAAAATTCAGAATCAGAGAGAAAAATCCGTATCGATATCTTGAATTCGTTATACTTTTTTCGTCTTCAGTTTCTTACTAGGTTTGCATGTAGAATATTTGTACATAAAAACATGGAACAGAACTTCACAGTACACCACCAGGGAACTAACTGAGTAAACTGAGCATTTTATTGAGGCCTTCAGCATTTACAATGCTAAGTTTTTGCGCCGTATTCAAAAGCAATCATGCCGTTATTACTGTATTACTCTAAACTAGTCAATGAGCAACTTGCTGAAACAGAGCTTTCTTCTGGCGAATAAAGTCATCAAAATACGTGATATGCTCAGTAAAATTTTAAGGATAATTTTAATCTACAGCAGTAAGAGAAAATGAGTAGTAACAGATTGACTGCCTCACCGCAGCAGCCTTCATGTTTATTGGTGACCAGTCTGCTGCTCAGTCATGCCACCCACTGACAGTTCCATTCAGACATTTGCAGTTGAAATGGACATTACAGCAAATATATAAAGAAAACTATTTTGATCATTATTATATCTCTCCCATGGCTTTTTTTTAATTGAGAAGATCATCAGTTTAATTTAATGCTTTATATCATATTTGGATGGGGGTTAACGAGAGAAGACCTAGTTTTGATTACATATTAATTTATTCTAATGCAGTTATGACTTTGTTACACACATGAATGTTTTATGACAGTATAAATGTCTTCTTAGTGTTCAAAATGAAAATGGGCACCATCTATCTCCGAGATGTACAAACTCAAGTGACAAAACTAATCAGTTTTCGGATTCCGCTCTTTATTCAACAAGTGATGAAATGAAGCCCAGTCCTGTTCAAGATGTTGAACAATCCGAAGGTGGTCTGACCTGGTTTGTTAATTTTCAAAGTGAAAATCATGAAATGGAGTCAAAGGAAGATGAAGTGGTACGGAACAAATCCGCCACACAAAACGTACCATCAGAGAATTCTTATCAGAGCCTTTTTCCTGGTTTACGTGTCAATTCTCCGCCAATAAAAAATCCAGAGGGGGTTGCAACAAGTGCAAAGACTCCAGACGTGATCTCACCACCTGGACGTTCTTGCAATGCAGATCATGTGAATTCTGTTGGTTCAGCTACCAAAAATGCAAAAGCTGACAAAACAGCTGGCACTGACTCCCTAAAGAGACTGACAAATGCTAAGATTTCTGCTTCTTCAAACACATCTTGTTCTGCTGTAACAGTGCATGTATCAAAAAAGCTTCATTCTTCCCGGGTTTCACAGAGTGGAATGTTGTACAAAAGTGGCAAAACTTATGACAGAAGTCACCCAACTGATTTAAGTGAAATTGGTGGATTTTCTAATCTGGTCGGCACTTATTCAAAAAGCTTCTGTACGTCAAATAACGATGGTTCAGACCAAGAGCCTTTGCATAGAATGCAGCCTGCATCAAATAAGTCAAGTTATCCAAGTGGAACAAAGAATATAGTGCAGGACAGTGGAACCGCTCCTCAAGAATCTGCAACTAATGGGAATTCCAGCAGTCTGCTGACCAAATTGAAAACTTTTGCATTCAAACCACAACAGAAGCTAAGACACTCGGCTGGGCACAATTCTACTCCTGAATCTTTGCTGCATTCTGAAACTGCAGACGTTGGGGTGTTAAATACTGAATTGAGGTATACTTTACAACAAGCAGCACCGGCCAGAAATCACGGAAAAACCACCCAAGCAGGACATGCTTGTACCACTAAAAGTAAATCTGCACACAAAGTAAAAAGCAAAGAACCACCTGTGGTAGACTGTGGTAAAACTGAAACATCCCTCAAGTTACAGAAAACTTTAAGTACCACAGATGAAGTGCAAAATTTGACACTGTATAAATCAAAAAGTCCACTTTCTATAGAGCCCAATACAGACCAACAAACTAGCCATGGTTCAGCTGTAACAAGCCAGGTGAAAGTGGCCTCCAGTACATTGGCAAAACTTGCAAGTTTCTCTTTTAGTTCACCATCTGAGAAGAAAACCAAAAATGACACAATAGAAAAGAAGGCAACTATTGAGCAGCTGAATAGCATGGCACAAAATGCAGACACTGACTGTGCAGCATCATCTAGAAAAAGGAAGACTTTTGGGTTAACATCAGCCGGCACTATGACCAGTGTTATGAGCAAATACCTCTTCTCTACTGATGAGTTGGAAGACGATGGCGTTCTGGATTTTGACTGGGATGAAGAAGCAAAGAAAAAACCCAGAACATAATTGATGTCTTTCAGAGATGTACCTCAATGGTTTTTCTTTAAAAGTGTGCACATAGGTTAATCATAAGGTGAAACAATCCATAACTAACATAGTTGTGCATTTTATGAATGTATGCTCCTGACTGACAGTTCTGTTTAGGTGTGTTTTCCTCATGTGTGCTTTCAATGTGTAAAGGTAACACCCATAACTTATATTTGTGAAATTTCCAAAGAGGCAAAGGAAATGAGCTGAGTTGATTCAACACATCTGAAACTCTGATGGTGGTTGAATATTAATTGCACCAGACAAAGTTGCAAATATGGTGTTACAATCAAGATAATTTTTTTTAAAAGAAAATTTGTTTTTTGGTTTGTATCAAGTCAGTCAGCTGCATTTTTTTTTGTAACTGTACATTTTATGCTTACTAATTTTAAATGAAATAAATAAGTCTTTTTGGTAGTTGATGATGATAAAGAAACCAAAAATTTCTATTGAAAGAACACTTGCTTACAGTCTGAAGTAGTTCACTTTGTCATATTGCATTCTCACTGTTATGTTTAATTAGCAGATTTTGTTTTATTGATTTAAGAATAAGCTGTACGTAATTACCTCTGAGAAACTGTCATGGCATCTTTTGCCTCCTGAGAATTGCTGGTAAATTACCCAATTCATTGCAGATATATACGCTCATTCCATAAGTGAAACCACACAAGATCTGAAATAAAGACACAAAATGCTGTAAATACTCAACAGGCCAGACAACAACTGTAGAGTGTAAAACAGAGTTAAGGTTTCAATGCCAGAGGATTTTTTCTGCCAAAGGACATATCGTGCTGTTTGGTGCAGGATTTCTTCCTTAATATATTTGTGCTTTTGACATATTATCACCAGAATATTCACTTACTGAAATAATTACTCACTACAAAGTTTAAAACGAGTCGATTTGTAATCCAGTTTATAATGAATACATACATTCCTCCAGATAAATACAACAAAATCACCACATATGTTTTCAAAAAACAGACCCAACTGGTTAAAAAAGAGATTACTAGTAACTTTATTTCCAGCTGCTCAAGAATAATGTTTGTTGCATCAGTGGCATTAACATGGGAACTATGTTGATGAGCAATTAATTACTTAATTGTTAACCTGCTGAATTGTCATAATTAAAAAGCAATAACAAACCCAAATAATTCAGCATCAATTGTACTTTTTTCTTCCAAACATTGTCAAAATGTCGGACGCTTGCCACCCTGTTTCCTCACAAAGTAAATAAGCATATACTTTAATAAAATAAAGGAATAAAAAAGATTTATTGGTAAAAAAATTATTTGTACCTGAAGAAGGTCTAATGCGGATACTTTCCATTGCATCTCAGCAACCATATTTTTTTTTTAAATTGCTTCCCAACAATGAATTATAAGATTGCTGATCATGTGCATTTTTGTTGTCTTGACAAATTTGAGTCATTCTTCTTCAGAACTTTCAATTTTATAGAATTAGATCAACATTATACTGGACAATACTGAATAGTAAGCTCCTGCAATTGAATCCCCCAATTGATGATAGATTACATTTTGTTGTTCACGTGAGCAAGTATATGTTATGGGGCATTCATATAATGTGGTCGGAACTGTTGTAACAAACACACTTTAATATTTATTTTACTCCAGAAGTAACATGTCACTGGAAAAATGCCTAGAATATTCCAACCTATATTGTTCTGGTTAAAGCCAGGATTTGCTAGATTCAACAACAACAAACAAATACTCTGTGGTGATTCAAACTAATTGCTGTAAAATCACTGGTTAAAGTCATCCAGCAAAACTTCTTCTGAAAGCGTGTTTGTGTCCCTAACATTGTTTTCTACAGGATTGTAGCTGATTTCATCAAACCTGTAAAAGTAAATGTAGGATTAAATTAATCATCTAATTTTGTTGGAAAGCAATTGTAAATATTCTCATTTGAGTAAAGGATGATTTATATATTTATAATGAAGTTTTATTTCGTTTAAAGTCCTTTCTGAGAGAAAAAAGTGGAGTAAACTGTACAACTACCAAAATCACCAAACCATCTATGCCCAAAGTTTCTGATCTCTAGAATATTGGAGCTGGGATGTAAGTTAATAACTGTTTGTAAAGACTGCACAGAAGTCCTGGTTTACACATTTTCTAGGCTGATTTCTGTTGCTTGGGATCTTCTATAGTAGTGTCCAACACTGACGTCGGGGCTGGAGACTTGGGTCCAGACATGTTGGTCTTATTGGCTTACTTAATCTGGAAATGTTGCTGAGTTCAATATCTGGTCTAGCTCACAGATCAGTCAGCATAACTCAACTAAGCACCACAACCAACACACTCCAAACAATACCTCCTAGCCACCTGGTTATCTCCCCTGACCTGATCCAATGGCCCACTGAGCTCAAGTATTCATTCACCCATCGTCATTCATTAAGATTGAAGACCTTTAAAAATTTTGATTATGGCAGCTACTGTCATAAGTTGACCATGTACTCTTTCCTGTGACACTGCTACACTCCCCATTCATCAGTGTGAAAGGCTTCATTGGTCTATTTCTGCTTCAGATGCAGTATCAGAAGTTCTTGCTGAAAATGCACAGTATTATTGATTTGGAGAAAATTTCACAGGCAGAGGAAATGTGCCTAGTAACATCTCCATTTAGGAGATCTGGGTGAGAGTTGATCAGTGTAGAAGATAATTTCATGTAATACTGAATGCCTGAAGAAAAGTCACGTTTCATTATGTGGTTCAGCCTACTTCGCTGGAGCACTGCAGTAAGCCTGAGGCAGAGATGTTGGCAAGGGAGCACGACGGTGCGTTGAAGTGGCAGGCAACAGAAAGCTCTACGTTTTCCGGACAGAACGTAGATGCTTTATAAATGGTCATCCGGTCTGCATTTTATCTCCCCAGTGTAGAGGAGACCACATTGTGAGCTGCAAATACAGTAGACTAGATCAAGTGAAGTAAATTACTCCTTCAACTGGAATGTGTGTGTAGGGCCTTGGAAAGTGAGGAGAGAAGACGTAAATGAGGCGGGTCTTACACTTTCTGCATGTGCATAGGAAGGTGTTGTGGGCGTGAGGGTAGGCACTGGGAGTGGAGGAGAAGTGGACCAGTGTGTCCCTGCGGAAGGCTGACAAGGGATGGGAGGGTAATATGTGTCTAGTGGTGTTAGCCCGCTGGAGGTGACTGAAATGGCAGCTAATGATCCTTTTTCATGTGATGTTGATGTGGGGTTGTAAGTGAAGACCGGGGGATCCCCTATTGCTGTTGTGAGACGGAAGAAAAGGAGTGAGGGCTGAAGTGCAGGAGTTCAGTCAGAAATGGCTGCAGGCCCTGTTGACTGTGGTGCTGGGGAATCCTCAGTTGAGAAAGAAGGACATCAAGAGGCCCTCTTGTAGACGCTGGCATCAACAAAACACATGCGGCGGAGATGGAGAAACTGAGACAATGGAATACAGTCTTTACAGGAAGCAGGGTGTGAGGGTGTACTGTCAAGGTAACTGGGAATTGGTAAGTCTGTAGTGGAGAATCACTTTTTTTGTAATCTGCTGGTTAATGGAACTAAAATACATCACATATAATATTGCAAAAGAAGTTTGTAACTCCGATTCTTTTGCTGACTACAAATTTAAATTCAGTTGTTAGAAATCCAAAATACAATGGAATTATTTGAGAGATATTAGTTACATGTTATTATGAACAATGTTTTAGGCTTTCTGACCAAGGTTTCTTTTCAGAACAAGTTGGATTTATAAAACAAAGTACATTCCTGTTGTTTAATCTCTTTCTGATTGATATTAAGCCACATTAAAGATAGACAAATAAGTGAGTTCTGTAATTTAGTCAGATGCTATTAAATTTATTGATTGTTGGGGAAAGTTCTTAAAGGTTCTCGGATCCAAATCAAAATGGGAGGTGCAGACAACTTAGTGTAAACACAATATGTAACATGCATATTCAGCATGGAAAATTTTAATATTCAAGCTTCACTGCAGAGATTTGAGCATGTGATCTAGATTGACACTTGAGTATACAAAGAAGAAAGAAAAAGAAAATTACAGCACAGGAACAGGCCCTTCGGCTCTCCAAGCCTGCGCCGATTCAGATCCTCTATCTAAACCTGTCACCTATTTTCCAAGGATCTGTATCCCTCTGCTCCCTGCCCATTCCTGTATCTGTCTAGATACATCTTAAATGACGCTATCGTGCCCGCCTCTACCACCTCCTCTGGCAACACATTCCAGGCACCCACCACTCTGCGTAAAGAACGTTCCACGCATATCTCCCTTAAACTTTTACCTTCTCACCTTGAAATCGTGACCCCTAGTAATTGAGTCCCCCACTCTGGGAAAAAGCTTCTTGCTATCCACCCTGTCTATACCTCTCATGATTTTGTAGACCTCAATCAGGTCCCCCTTCAACCTCCGTCTTTCTAATGTAAATAATCCTAATCTACTCAACCTCTCTTCATAGCTAGCGCCCTCCATACCAGGCAACATCCTGGTGAACATCCTCTATGCCCTCTCCAAAGCATCCACGTCCTTTTGGTAATGTGGTGACCAGAACTGTACACAGTATTCCAAATGTGGTCGAACCAAAGTCCTATACAACTGTAACATGACGAGCCAACTCTGTAATCAATACCCCGTCCAATGAATGAAAGCATGCCGTATGCCTTCTTGACCACTCTATCGACCTGTGTTGCCACCTTCAGGACACAATGGACCTGAACACCCAGAGTACAGTGCTGCACTGTCAGAGGTGTCTTCTTTGGAAGAGACATTAAACTAAGGCCTTGTTTACCTCCTTGAGTGAACATAAAAGATCCCATTGCACTGTCATAGCAGAGCAGGGAAGTTTTCCTTACGTTCTGACAAACATCCCTTAACTACCATGATTAAAATAAATTATCTGGTCACTTATCTAATTTCTGGGTGTGAGACCTTGATGTATATGAATTTGCAACCTTGACTCTAAGGTGCAACTTTCCGTCCCTGAAGGTGGCAAGAAGAGCAAGTAATTGGGTGAATTATCCCTGGAGAGATGCTTCCCATCTTCTTCCCACCTGAGCTTACAAGCATACATATGTGCAAACATAAGAAGTTAATGAATAGGATTAGGCCATTTGGCCCTGTAACCTATTGTCCTGTATCACTGAAGCATAGCCCCCCTAATATACTTTTGTATTCGTTCCCTCCCTGGACCCTCTCATCTCAAAGTTCTACAATCTCTCACCATTTATATAATATACTTCTTTTCTATTCTTGCTTGCCAACATGAACAATTTGACGTTTTCCCACATGGATCTCCTTTATCCAGATCTTGCATACTTCATGACCTATCTATACCCATTTGTAGTTGCTGATGTTCTCTTTACAAGTTACTATTCTATCTCTTTCTGTCATCAAAATTAGAAACTTGACCTTTGGTCATTTGGACATTTGGTCATTGTAGTCATTTTAATAAATTGTTATAAGTTAGGACCCCAGCACTGATCCCTGTGGTAAGTCACTTGCTAAATCTTGCCAATCAGACAATGATCCATTTATGCCCTCCTCTCTGTTTTTTGTTCATTAGCCAATCTTTTATCCATGACAGTAGGTTACCCACTATATCATGAGCCTTTATTGTACATAACACCATATCAAATGCAGTCTGGAAATCTAAGCATGGTGTATCCACTGGTTTCCCTTTTTGCACAGCATATATTACTACTTCATAGAACTCCCATAAATTAGTAAACATGATTTCCTTCGCTCAAACCTCTGCCTGATTACACTGTATTGTTCTAACTGCCTTGCTATTACGTCTTTACGAATAATATTTTCCCAATGATAGATGTTAAGCTAACTGGCCTATAGTTTGCTGTATTTTGAGTAAAGGAGTTGCATTTGCTATCTTCCAATCCACTGGTACATTCCCTGAATCTAAGGAATTTTGGACAATTAGAACCAAAGCATCAGTTATCTTAATAGTGTTATAACCTGACCTCATATGAGGTTCCCCAATATGTTGTGGTTCCAGACAGAATATCCCAAACTGTTAAGCACTCGGGTGAGGACGGATGAACTGGCTCTCCCTACTTTGTTAACCTTGGTTGGTCACAGCATTAATTTAAAATGGATCCTTCCCTTTTCTGACACCTTTATTCTTAGACTCAAATGAACATATGTTTTAAGTAAATCTAACCAACCTTTCTTGAATTAAGTAATAATGCAACATGCACAGTGTAGAAATAAAAGCAGAGTCCAAAAAAACTTTAAAAAAAAAATACAGGCCTGTTTCTGAATTGTTAGTGAAAAGCAGTTGAGAAGACATTGTGTCCATTATTAGAGGGTGCAATGATGTTGACAGTGGATCTCGAGATTCTTCTTTTGTAAGTTGATTAACTTTCTTTGTCCTGATTCCTCTTGAACTGGCTGCTACCATCCCGAGTGAGAAAAACCATTTTCTTTTAACCTGTTGTGTAGGGGTGTTTAAAATGGCCGTTATCAAAACTTTCATGCTCACAGCTCTCAAGTTCACACTCTCGACAAATAACACACAAAAGACTAGTGTTGTAGTCAGTTTTTAACTTTTTTGTTTGTATATTCCTGAAGGATAAAAACTGGCATGCCTGCAAAAGTTTGTTTTCTACTGAGAGGTAGGGGTTAGGCAGCCCCCTCGTCAT